CAGAGTTCACCTGGATTGCTGCTGCTGTGGGTGTTCCACCTTCGGGAAGTCCTTTCTCGTGTCTGACCTTAAGCCTTCATGCTGTCACTTTTTTTTTCCTGGGTCTGTCTAGAGAATCATAAGGGGAAGATTTCTTGTTTAAGATCACACTGTGAGTGGAGCTTAGAAGCCTGGGGATCGGCTAGACCAGGAAGCCTGAAGGGGCTCAGAGTTTGCCAGAGTGGGGGTGAGGGGCTGGCCCCTCCCTCTAGCTGCTCTTGGGGTTCCTGCCACAGTCCTATAAAAAGAGGCATTGCCGGGCAATGGGAAAGGGCTCAGTGCTGCTTCTTTCTAGCCGTGTGACCTTGAATGGAGCCAGTCCTAGAGCCCTGGTCACTACCTCCTGGTACCATTAGTCCTGCCTATTAGTCAATTATTCAGCCACGGGCTGTGTGCCCATCCCAGAGTGAGACACTGCTGGGGGGTGGGGTGGGCACTGACAGGAATGTGACCGAAGTGGACAGGCCCTACCCTTCAGAGGCTCCCAGCCTAGCACCCCTTCCCCACCTACCTTCTCCTCGATAAACAACCTGGGCTGGGGGTGGTTCCAACCCAGCTGAGTTGAGTAATTAAAATCTCTCCTCTTCCCCTGACAGATGACCTCCAAGGTCCGTTCCAGCCCTATGATTCTATGATTCCAGCTGGGGGTATCCAATTAACCCTTGTTATGCTTGGCTGGGCTTGTGAGCTGTGGAGTGGGAAGGGGTGGGGCCCGCACACACCAGGAGGCTCTGTCCCATTCCTCCCTGCCCCCTTCTATCTCCGCCCCCGCCCTGTCCATGCCAGGGCGGTGCTTAAGAAGCCTGAGCCCTGGAGTCAGACTGTCTGAACAAGGACAGGGTTACTGGTAGGTGTGGCCCTGGGGTGCTGCCTCTCTTCAGCCTGGGCCTGAGGGCGAAGGGTAGACCAGCTGCAGCTTTGCTCATGGTATCTGCCTGGGCCTTGGTCTAGGCCCAGGCAGAATGTATTCCCAAAGGAAGGCCCTACAGGGCTGGGCTGAGCTGGGGCGGGGGCTTTAGAAGCAAGATCACTGGCTACTAAACAGGCCATCCAGAAGCCTAGCATCTTGGATCATGTCTCTCCGACCCAGTGCCAGGGCAAAGCGGCCTCCCTCTGGTGGTACATCTGCCCGTTCTCCAAGGGTGTGAGATTTGGGTGAAGTTCGGACTCCACTCAGGATGGTGGTGGAGCTATAGGTGTGGTGACTGTCGGAGCTGATGGGGGCCATAGAGACTGCCATAAACAGGCACCTTATGGGCCACTAAAGACCCTCAGAGTGTTTTCTTTGGCTCACACAGTGCCTACATTAAAAAGGAATTAGCTGCCATCATTTAAAATTCAGGAGATTTTTACATAAAAAAAAAAGATTTATAACTTCTAAAAAATCTAAAGATCTAGTAACATGAGACCCACATTTTCACAAGGCAACAGCTGGAGCTGAGTGGCGGCTGTCCCCTCAGCCAAAGCACATTCTCTGCTTCTCTATGTCCCCACCTGCCTGAGTTTGACCTTCATAGGAGCAAACAGGAAAGTTGAGGTCCAGAGAAAAAGCAGCCCATTTGCCCAAGGTCACCTAGCCAGATTAGGGAACCAAGCCAAGATTAGGACTCAGGCCTCCTGCCTGCTGGCCAGCCCCCACCCTTTCCCCTGCACCCTTCTCCCCAGAGGTCTGCAGAGCCCACAAGGCCCCTCTGGCACTGCCACCCACCCCCATTATTCCTGAGGCTTGGTCATCTCAGCGGCTGGCCGGGCTTTGTCTGGTTGCCTTCCTCCACAGCCCCTACAGCCACTTGGGCCCCAGCCACAGCCCTGGCCCCCTTCAGGCGAGAGCAGAGGCGCTGCGGGGCCTCCGCAGCCCGGCCCCATCTCCCGCAGCTCTGAACAAGAATCTTATTAAGTGCAGGGGGCGGCCGCCGCCGGGCCTGGGGCGGCCTGACCACAGAGCTGGCTTCCTTCTGCAAACAGCCTGGCTGGGGCTGGGCCGGAGTGCGTGTGCACAGAGCGGGCACTGAAGCCACCCCCATCCAGCTCAGCCCGCGGCCTCACGCCGCCTCCTGCTTCCTCCCACGCCCAGCCCTCTGATCACCCCAGCCCTGTCTCTGTCTCCCCCTGTTCCTTCTGCCTCCATCCCCTCCATTTCCATCTCCCTCTGCGCCTTTTCCTTTTGTCTTCTCAGCCTGGCTCTATTCCTGTCTCTTTCTGTCTTGGTTTTGTCATTATCTCTCGCTCAGCCCCCCATTCCTTTTCGGGGTCTGGTTTCCCATCTCAGCCCTGGAGCCCTGCCTGCTTCCCTCTGTCTCCATCTTAAGGCGCCCTCTTAGCTCCTGTCTCTCGACCTCCATGTCTGAGCTTCACTCTCAGTCTGTCTTCCTCAGTCTCTACAGCTGCTCGCACTCCCCGGGCATCCCTCCCCCAGACCCTCTGAGTCACCCTAACTCTCCCTCACTCCAGCTCTCTGGCCAGCTCTGAGTCTGTGTTTCTGAAGCTGCCACAAGCTGCTTCTGGGGAGGTTTGCTGTGCTGGGTAAACATGGCCCCAGCAGCGGGACGTGAGGAATTCTGCTGACAGCGCTTTACTCAGGGGTTGAGGAGGGGCAGTGTGAGCCTGAGGCCAGGGGCCCCAAGGAGATGGCAGTGTCCTTTCCACGCTCATGCCCCTGCCTTCTGAGCCTCTCAGCCAGCTCAGAGTGTCTCCCCAGCTGGAAAAAAGGAACAGGCCTCC